TGTATTCAGTACCTTTCTCTAACCATAATCTATCACTGCTATCTCCTTGAAGTCTCCCATGACCACATGTTGGGTACAAAGCATTTCCTCCTCTATGTATAYTTTGTATATGTAATGGCAACATCTCCCATTTCGCCTTCATGAGGTTGCCATCACCGTCAGGTGTTGAAGCTGCGCACCAGTACATGTGATTACAAATGGACTGTTTCCATTCCCCAACATCACTACATTCCTTTTGTTTAGCTATTTTATCAATTTTTTTACCCAGACCTGCCACACAAAAAGATTTTTGTGTTAATTAATTTTTGTTTGTGTAATGTCTTTTAGCTGTAGTTAGTTAGCTATAGTAATGAACTGCTTAGTTATATATAATAATAGAGTGTAAGCACTATATCCTTGATACAAACATTATTAATTACTAGTACATAGTGTTGTTTTAATAAGCAATAGAAAAAACATGTCATGATTAATTAAACTTTTTTTACGTCTAAAGTTATTGTGCTAAATACCTTTAGCAACATGCCAAATGTCATAGTAGTGTGTTGTGTCAGGTAGTTTTGTCCTAATGTATTTAGAAATSGATGTGCTTCGGTCTGTTATTAATATGTCTATTGACAAATTCTGAGTTTCGAAGAGTGCCACACTCCTCTTTAAACCCTCCACTTCCATCCAGGAGCTGTTCTTTACTTCATTGCTCTAAACAAAAAAAAGAAGGATAAGATTCTATTGAAAATGAATTTTTGGCTGTGGTTTTTGCTACATGTACTGGAGTTTGGCCAACCTGCACAAGTTGGAAATCGAGAACGCGATTTGTCTTCTGCTCGATGACGGTGTAAGAGCCAAATTTAGCACTATGCCCTGGCGAATCGCATCTTCCATCACCAGAGAGGATAAGGTCATTCCCCTCATTTCGCATCTTTTGTAAGAGCGATCGTTGTTCTTCTTTCCAGCACTGCACGATAGTTGGAGTAACRTAATTGGTGGTGTGCCGGTAAAACGAAGATCTTGACACGCAGGCAATATTCATAAAGCGAAACATTCTCAGTGTTTTTTGTGTGGGAAGACCTATGACARCAATGKTATTAATCAATTAGAAGGACGGCAATAATGAAAAAATGTTGAAGTTAAGTTGCAATCACGATGCAAAATACCTGACATTAGTATTGCTGCAGATAAAAGCAGATTTCCAACTGGCATTGTCCGGACGAAATTCTGATTCGTCCACACTTTTTCCTGCTGACAATCAGCGTCTTTGCATTTTTGGACTATTTTGATAAAAGTGCCCATTGTATCAACAATCTTCCCTTCAGATGGGCCATTGCAAACTGGACACCAGCGGAACAACTCTAACAAATAACTTTCAAAAACTATATACTTCCTTTCGGTATGGTATTTTCTGGATCTAAAATTGAGCAAAAACGAGAGAGATRAGTTCACCTGCATCATATAAATATAGAGGCAAGGGGGAAAATGAGACGTCGAACCGGAAACCACACCCTGAACCTCTTCTAAATACGCGCACGTAATTTCAAAGTATTAGTTATTTAATGAATAGTTAATAAAATGCGTGTAACCACCAGATTTACCCTTTTAGTTTTTCCTGTTCCTCTGAAGTCATTTCTTTCGTTTCTTTCATTTCTTCATCGCTATCAGAGGTGAGTGGGCAGTACATTTCCCCTTCATCATTGCCATCGTCATCATCATCAGAGTCAGTTTGACTGCACTCGACTGTACCAAGCGGGGGAAGACTTACAAGATTGCATTGCACACCTATTTCTTTTAGTTCTTTTTTGAATTCCTGAGACTCTGTTTCGATAGCTTCAAAGAGGATAAAAACCGCATCGATGAAAAATTGTSATATTATRTAATGTTTATTCTGAGGTCCGTTATTATTTTGAAATCGACATATATTATTCTGCTCACCTTTGCTCCTTCTTTCTGGTCTTTGGTAAGATTTTTGTGTGGCCTTATTTGCCGTTACCGGGGAACGACGGGTGCTATGACAATCACTAATCGAGGTATCTGAGTTTGACATATCTACACTATCCATGCCATAAGCAGCTGCCATAGGTTCAATAATGGAAGTTTCTTGTGTTTCGACATCGGGAGAAAACTCAATTTGCTTCATGGTCTAATAAATAAAACGGCATTTGAAAAAGGTATAAAAATCTAGGTATGAAATCTTATAACCCTAGTCAAAACTCACCCGGTGGGCGCGCAGTTTAGTGACAGCGCTTGCACCTCGATC